GGTGATTTTATGAATGATTCAAGATAGAGCTGAAAAGTATGATGGTTTTCATCTAACCGTGAATTCCGAATGATTTTTTCTGGTTAGCGTTTTTTTAGCGAGTTGATTTTCTACGGGATGGGGTCGCTAACCCCATGCCCAACCCTCCTCCTTTACCCGGGCTTGGGACCGGCAGTAACCCCCAGAGGAGCTACAGGCGGAGTTGCTTACTCTCACCCTTTCTCTTTCTCCTGGTCATCGACTGGATCATGAAGACGTCAACATCTGGAGGAAATCACGGGATACAGTGGACAGGCAGGATGCAGCTTGACGATTTAGACTTCGCGGATGATCTGGCTCTTCTATCACAAACGCAACAACAAATGCAGGAGAAAACGACCAGTGTAGCAACAACCTCAGCAGCAGTAGGTCTCAATATAAACAAAGAGAAAAGCAAGACTCTCCGATACAATACAATATGCACCAATCAAATTACACTTGACGGAGAAGCTTTGGAGGATGTGGAAACCTTTACATATCTGGGCAGCATCATTGATGAACACGGTGGATCAGATGCAGATGTGAGGGCGCGGATCGGCAAAGCAAGAGCAGCATACTTACAACTGAAAAACATCTGAAGCTCAAAACAATTGTCAACCAACACCAAGGTTAGAATTTTCAATACAAATGTCAAGACAGTTCTACTGTATGGGGCGGAGACGTGGAGAAATACGAAAGCCATTATCCAGATTATTATTTATTATTATTTATTTAAACATATATATTGGTACAAAAGGGCACCAGGTACATATACGCCACACAAAATAATGAAAGTAGGAAGAGAAGGGATGAAAAGATAAGGCGGGCTGAAATGTACAACCAGAAGACTCCTTCAGTTAGGAAAGTTAGAACCATTCTTTATGTAGAAAGTAAAAGAAGGTTGCAGAAGGATCGCCACTGGCTTCTATTCTGAGCCATATCTGATAACGTCTCTAGCCACTGTGTTGCACTATCTCTCGGACCCCAACCAGGGAGTCGTGAAGGACCAACAAAAGCTAGCCCTTTGCAGCTCTCTTTCATGCCACGACACCATGTCATACACTGACCTTCTGGATAATGACCTCCAAAGGTCATTATCCAGAAGATACAAGTGTTCATCAACAGCTGTCTACGCAAAATACTTCGGATCCGATGGCCAGACACTATCAGCAATAAGTTACTGTGGGAGACAACAAACCAGATTCTAGCGGAGGAAGAAATCAGGAGAAAGCGCTGGAAGTGGATTGGGCACACCTTGAGGAAATCAGCTAATTGCGTCACAAGACAAGCCCTCACATGGAATCCTGAAGGTCAACGGAAAAGAGGAAGACCAAAGAACACATTACGCCGAGAAATAGAGACAGACATGAGAAGAATGAACAAGAACTGGATAGAACTAGAAAAGGAAGCCCAGGACAGAGTGGGTTGGAGAAAGCTGGTCGGCGGCCTATGCTCCATTGGGAGTAACAGGCGTAAGTAAGTAAGTGAATTACGAATAAATTAATCATTTTCCTTGTACAAATTTGCACATGTAGAATGCTTAAATAATTGCAGTGGTTATAAGTGATATCAGCGAATAGTTGAAGTTCCATGAGAATACCCAATCATAACACACGCGACATTTCAGTTAAGTGTTGTTGATCGATTGAGGTTAGAAATTAACGCCGTTGATATCGATTCAGTGATCTTGATGTTAGGCGTTCGCCCCTTAGACCGGAGGTGATGAGTTCGCGTTCAGGTTCCTGGATGTGCACTCCTTAGAAGCCTCATGCTAGGACTAAACAGCCGTCCTGCAAATCAGTATAAATAAATTAGTTTAATTAGGAATTATCACAAACCATGGTCATAGGAACACTAAGGATAAATATTCTAGTCATAGATTAAATCCAGTTTACTGGGTAATGGAGCAACGTTAGGAGACGTGATCCTATGGTACCCAATGACCGAAAATAGACTTATACACTACTCGAACCGTCACGATTCTGAAGTCCATGTATAGCATCGGTTTGGAATATAGGTTTTCTCAACCTCCCTCGGTGGATCCTCCGTGCCCACCAACCTATTTTAAAAGTCGTACATTTGCTTTTCATCATACCACTGCCGTAAACAATAGCGCCGCCGCTATAAGATAGTGAATCGGACTCTCCTGGTAGTGGCCATATGAGAGCGTTTCGAGGGGTAGAGCGGACTCTCCCCACCTTTTCTCTACTTAGGCATTTTTTCAACATCATGACGGTTCAAACATCTGTGTCTGTTACTAGCTTTAAAGTGAACACTAAGCATGAATATTTGTAATGACGACACTATTTGAACTCAGCTCACTATGGTGTAGCTTATTTACTAACCACATACTTGTGTGCTTGGTTTAGTATATAAGGGTCAGGGCTACTACCCGGTTGCCGAAGCTGAAGTAGGTGTTATGGGGTTTGAGCTTTTTTCATGGTGGCTGAGAGCTAAGTGCTTTTACTACCAAACACCCACTTCAGTCTAACAGTTTAGCTTATAATAAGTTTTCGCATAAAAGCAATAGCATGTAGTCTTTTATAAGTATTTACTATCAACTTTCTGGTTTAAATTTGTAAGTGTACTAATTAAGGCAATGCAATTGTACAACAATTGAGATAACTTGTTTGTATGTTACTTTCCCCATGTCACCATCTACTTAAGCATTCAGTGTTGACTGACATAGAAGTGCTTAAAAAGCTGAGTTGAGAAACTAAAACATGAGATTAGTTGACAAGGCTATCGACTGTTGTTTCATTTGGATATGCAGGTTCAGGTTTCGTAGATAGTTCTCAAGACGATATAAACCAGTAAATAAAGGTTGTATATGACGTGTACTTAAGTCGCTAACACTGAGGTATACTCTGATTGCTTTTGAGATCCAAAATATTCTATGGTTTATCTCTTTATATGTTTGTTCTTATTTAAATATCATTTTAGTCATTAATTATTCTATGTTGTTGCATCGATGGCTGAAATTATGCGATAAATCTTGCATTCGTATATGTACCTCTGTCAGTCGTGTTTCAAACTGCCGTAACTGTCTTGTTCTTTTAATTTAGATTCGGTTTCAAGCGGATGTTTGATAGCATATTTTCGGATTTTAATCTCTTATGTTACTTTCAAATTCTACCCTACTTTTGTTTAAGACAGATTATCATATTTTTAACATAATGATTAGAACAGCTACTAATTATCTGCATTATAGTTATTAATTTAGTTGTTTGAAAGTAATCTTATAATTTGGTTCTTATTAGCTCAACTATTCAAATTCCTCCATAAGCTGCTGAAATTGTTAGCCAAAGCACATATCACCGGCATGTTTTTGTTTTCTGTGTTTATGTACACGTTGATATTTACGTATGTTTCTAATTCGTTCGTTATCATCACTGGAGATAGATGGGAGCCTGACTCTATTGTTTCAAAACAAGTCTCTTTAAAAGTCACTACCTTATGGATGATTTTACAATATCAGGTACCGGATTATAGTCCAATTCTTAGATTCGTCGGTGTTTATTAATTATTCATCGTAAAATTGAGAGTATAAGCTATAGGCTTCAAAGCAAATACCCCATCATTATAAAAGGGATAGTGTTATCAATGTTCGTTAACGAAATTCTCACATTTTCTCATGAATTCTTCCAGTTGTTTTTTATTGCTATCTGTACTGATTTCCATCATTGAATCACATGTCTGGATTGCATAGTAAAAGCGTGTTGCGCTGCATAAGTTTATGCTATAGTTGTTTATCGCGTGTACAAGTAGTGACATGATCATAATACTACTATTCGTAATCATGACGAAAGCAAATCAGATCTAGGTTAACCCGAAGTCCACGGAACGATCGTGAGCAGTGGTGGTCAACGAAAGTCAGTCAGTCAGCTACAACGTAGGACCTGGCACACATATGCATCGGTCCAAGTTGCCATACCTGTTTAGCAGGGATGGAAAAGGCAGTGGCTTTAGACGACACCAGACAACTCTTCTGACTAATAAAAGAAACCGGAATTAAGAAGTCAATTGTAAGCGAGACAATCTCGGAAAAAGATGAGACTCTCATCTGCTCTCAGTCTAGACGTTTAGAACGATGGTTGAAACACTTTAGAGAAAAGTATAGCTGGCCTTCAGCCACTCTACAGCTATTCACCATTCCCAGATAGTCTGAATGACACATTGAGATAGGTCCATCGACTGTAATTGAAGCTCAAAAAGCAATAACTAATCTGAAACGAGGAAGGACAGCTGCTCCAGATGGATTAACTCCACAGGTCTTTAAGGATGGTGGTCCAGTTTTAGCGATTAGGTTGACGAATATTTTATCTAAAATCTGGGAATCTAATGTGATTCCATTTGAGTGGTCGCCTAACTAAGACTCGTGAAATGCAAATGCGAGAAAATCAGGCCTGATCGTGACTGCATCAACCACATATTAACCATTCGATAGATCTTAGAACTCAGGGGTGCTTATCGACGTCCGACAATGATAGTTTTTATTGAATTAAAATCAGCATTTGACTCTGTAGACCGAGAGGTTCTGTGACAGTGTCTGTCATTGAAAGGTGTACCTGAGAAGTACATAAACCGTGTGAAGGCTCTTTACTCGAACACTAACAGTCGAGTCAGAGCTTATGGAGAACTGTCATCTGAATTTTCAACCTCAAGCGTTGTCCGACAAGGTTGTCCACTATCCCTATTTTTGTTTAATTTCATCATGGACCTACTGTTGGAAAACAACACTCTCGTCAACTGAATGTTAAGGAATTGATCTCCTACCATGAGGTCCACTGATTGACTTGGAATACGCAGATGACATAGTCCTGTTTGGTGAAGACGCTGACAAAATGCAGAGTCTTTTGGTAGAGCTGGGCAACAATCTGAAGATGCTTGGAATGCATTTCTCCCCCTCTAAATGCAAATTGTTGCTTCATGACTCTCCTGCATCAATACCTAACTAAGGATAAAGAGTGAAGTAGTCGAACGCGTCGACAACTTCACTTATCTTGAAAGTCTGATCAATCTTAATGGGTTAGTGTTGGCTTTTGTCAAAAGTAAACTACGAACTGTCAGAACCGGTGACTGAGTTAGTAGATCATATATAACCTAATGAATATGACAGCTTGAACTAGTTAACTTATTAGGGAGGTTAGTTGTTCTGGTTATTTCAATCAAACAGACTAACAGACATATCTTTCATGGCCACAAAATTCTAAATCAGATTTTATTCAGTTAAGTAACTTACCAACTACTATGACAAGTTCAAACTACCGTATATGTTCGGTTATGTAAGTCATGATCGCTACTGAATCCCAAAGTTAATTTACGTTCACGCTGTTTGTGTTCTAGCAACAACCATCTAAACTGTATTTAAAGATACAAACCAAAACAGATTTCCCTCTTATTTTTGATATTTAGACCTTCACCATTTTCTTCATTTCAGATATTAAAATGCTGCCTTTAATCCACATAGTAAGGACATAGATGGAAGCTAACTGTATCGTTGTATGTCTGTTCACTAGGCAGCTTAATTACAATAGTGTTTATTTTGCGTAACTTAGTTATCTAGACACTTAGTTCATGGTCATTGGACTACAGTTTCACAACAAATTTTGGTCTGTTAACTGGAGTATTATTGTTAACCTATTCGGTTAGATTTGTTTCCCTTTCACTTAAATATAACATTTTCTAACTAATAGTTTGTTCCATTTCTTCAGATATCGAAATGGTCGCGTTGGAATTTATTTCTCAATTAGATAAACTGCACTTTGTCGATTCTGTCGGACTGGATGATTTCGCAGATCGATGCTCTTACATGTTGTCATTTATCATTCTGGTCATGTGCTTTACTATTGTTACACTGAAATCTTATGTCTTTGAGCCTTTATCATGTTATATTCCAACTACCTTCTCGGGTTCTAATTTGGGATCGTACATAAATGCATTTTGCTGGATTAATGGAACTACACCGATAAGTGTAGATACAGATCAGTTAGATAATCCAACGTATTGGAGTAGTTTAGAAGATAGAAAAATCAGTAAGTCTTTTTCTCTTTCGATCATATTTAGCTCCATAATATATTTTCGTTTGCTTAGTTTTTAACCTAAATTTGTTTTGTCTTGATTTTCTAGATTAAGAGAGCTTTCGAATAAAATTTAAATTCAAATAATTCAGGTTTAAAAACTAATCAACAGTCTTACGTACTTTTGGTTTTGAATGTCTGTTTTCCTAACTCATATCTAGGTCAACTTCATAATTCATGTAATAGTATGGGATGTTGGAGTTTGCTGCCGATAGAATTAGTGAATCTTAGTGTCTCTTAATTGACATATTATAGTGCTTAGGCAGGATGCTCATTCAATCTACTCTAGTGGCTAAGTTGCGAATGCGATCGGATTACAATCAGCTGAATTGTTGGTTCAAGTATCAACCCACCTACTTCAACTTGGCTAAAGTACTGTAGTTGACCTTCGCGGAGTGTAGCTAAAAACCGAGTACCTATACCTCTGTACATGGTAAGCCTGCTTACTTATTCCTGTTACCCCTCGTGGATGAGCATAGGCCGCCCAACAACATTCTCCATTCAACCATGTAATAGTTAAACATTTACAGTTGTTTCCAGTTGCTATTCATCCTTCTCATGTCTGTTTCCAATTGCCGACACAGTGTGTTCTTTGCTCTTCTTCTTTCCTGTTTCCATTCACTATTCCAAATTAGCCCTTGCCTCGTGATGCAGTCTGATGATTTCCTTAATGTATGTCCCATCCACTTATAACGTCCTTGTCTAATTTCCTCTTCACTTGGAAGCTGGTTTGACCTCTCCCACAGTAGGCTGCTGCTGATGGTATCCGGCCAACGGATATTAAGTATCTTGCGTAGACAATTGTTTATAAATAATTTTACATTTTTGATGATGCTGACGATGAATGTGGTAGTTTTCAAAGTTTCATCTCCGAACAGTAGAATTGTCTTGAAGATTCTGACTTTGATGTTGATTGATAGTAGTTTTGGGCTGTAGATGTTCCCCAGTTGTAGGAACACAACCATTGTTTTGTCAATCCTTGCCTTCACATTTGCACCGGGTCGTGCTTGTTCATAGATGATGCTGACCAGGTACGTAGAAATTTCCACCTCTTCCAGAGTTTCTCCATCAAGTGTGATTGGATTTGTGTTCTCTGTGTTGTATTTGAGGATCTTGCTTTTCCCCTTGTGTGTGTTGAGGCCTACTGATGCAGAGGCTTCTGCTACACTGTTTGTCTTCAACTCAATTTGTTCGTGTGTATGGGATAGAAGGGCCAGGTTATCTGTGAAGTCCAAATCGTTTAGTTGCATGCAAGCTCTCCATTGTATTCCGTGCTTCCTCTGAGATGTCGAGGTCTTATTATTCTGATCAACTGCCAGAAGAAACAGAAAGGCGGAGAGTAAGCAATCTCAACTGACTCCGATCCTCAGTTCGAATGCATCTGTCAGCTGTCCTCCATGCACCACTTTGCAGTGTAGTCTGTGGTATAAATTCGGGATGATGTCGACGATCTTATCAGGTACACCATAATGTCGAAGAAGTTTCCATCAAGTACATCTATCCTCTCTGTCAAACACTTGTTCATAGTCAGGGAAGTCGATGTATAGTAATGAGTTCCATTCAACAGATTGTTCAACGATGATCCGTAATGTCGTGATTTGGTCTGTGCACGATCGATAATTATGGAATTGTTAGATCGGCATACAATAAACTCTATCAGAGCCTCCAGAGAGGCTCATAAAGAGACCAACCAATCAGCGATCAGTTAGAAGCTATGCTACTAAAAATGCTACTAAAATAACAAGGTCCTGATTGGCTGTTAACATATTGCTACTATGGAATCTCAAGGTCTTTCTAATTACTATAAAACCCCTGTTTTTTCTGTACATAATCGAACCTTGTAGTAAAGTGATTTCTCTGTTACTCGTGTCTTCTTACTGGTCTTTCAAGTCGCTGAGTAGTGCTAGCCTGGGGTTATCCGAATAGCTTAGGATCTGAATATAGCGTTCAACCCACAAGTCATATCAGTGGCGACGGGGAAAAACCACAAGTCATATCAGTGGCGACGGGGAAAAACTACAAGACATATCACTGGCGACGAAAAAAAAAATGACAATGAGTATTTCTTTAGAGCAATTTGAAGCTTATATGGAGCGTCAAGAAAAACGGTTTGAACAGTCTCAAATCAGAGTCATGGAAGCTCTTATGCAGAAATTATGTATGTCTCAACAAAACTCTGCTGCTGGTGAATTTCAAGTATCTCATACTGACTCAGTTATTAACGCAATCCATGAATTTAATTTTGATGGTGCAGCAGGTGTCACTTTTAACTCTTGGTTTAAGAAGTATGAAGATTTGTTTCATATTGATCTCTGCAGACTGGATGACGCTTCAAAAGTCAGAATACTTCTAAGAAAGCTTGGGACAACAGAACATGAACGCTATAGTAACTATATTCTCCCGAAGAACCCACGAGACTTTAGTTTTGATGAAACAATTCAAACCCTGTCTCAAATCTTTGGAGAACAGTCGTCTCTATTTAATATCCGTTACCAGTGCTTGAAGATAACGAAAGAATCAGGAGATGACTGGGTGAAACATGCAGGTATTGTGAACCGAGAATGCGAGAGGTTCAATTTGTCTTCCATGTCTGAAGACCAGTTTAAATGCTTAGTATTTGTCTGTAGCCTGCGTTCACCTGAGGATGCTGACATCCGAACGAGAATCCTAAGCAAACTTGAGCATTGTCCCAACATGACCCTGCAGGAAGTGACTAATGAATGTCAAAGGTTAGTGAATTTGAAGCACGATACCTCGATGGTAGAAAACACTAACCAGTTCCTCCACGTTAATGCTGTTGAGAGGAAAGTCGAGCAAGGTTCCAGTATACAGAATTATCGAAATGATTGCGGTAAACCATCATCCCCATGCTGGTTATGCGGAGGTTGGCATTTCAAAAGGTTTTGTCCGTTTAAAAGTCATCGTTGCACTACGTGTTCCAGGAAAGGACACAAAGAAAGTCATTGCAAAACCCGTAAACGTCGTCAACCTAAAGTTTATTCTAAAAGATTCAAGCCACGCACAGCCAAGGTGACGGTAGCTGCTAACAGAATCGGCTCCCATAATCGTAGAAAGTATGTTTCCCTCAAGATTAACGGGTACGATGCCCGCTTACAGCTAGACACAGCCTCCGATATAACGCTTATAAGCAGGAGGACGTGGGAGAAAATTGGGAGGCCGAGAATATTTTCAACCTATCAGACAGCACACGGCGCATCCGGGGGGATTATAAACATTGCTGGTGAGGTTCACTGTAAAATCACAGTCGCAGAGCTTACAAAGAAGGGTGTAATATTTTTGACAGAACGGCCAGCACTCGACTTATTGGGACTTGATTGGATAGAAAAGTTGAAATTATTAGATCGTCCCATAAATTCAATCTGCAACAACGGCACTATGTCGAAAGTTGGGGACCCAACATTGTTTCGTGGGGGAGGTTGAAGTCAGCAAATGCAGTCTGGATACCTACCCCGCTTCTTCAAAAAAGGGGAGGTGTTAGATCGGCATACAATAAACTCTATCAGAGCCTCCAGAGAGGCTCATAAAGAGACCAACCAATCAGCGATCAGTTAGAAGCTATGCTACTAAAAATGCTACTAAAATAACAAGGTCCTGATTGGCTGTTAACATATTGCTACTATGGAATCTCAAGGTCTTTCTAATTACTATAAAACCCCTGTTTTTTCTGTACATAATCGAACCTTGTAGTAAAGTGATTTCTCTGTTACTCGTGTCTTCTTACTGGTCTTTCAAGTCGCTGAGTAGTGCTAGCCTGGGGTTATCCGAATAGCTTAGGATCTGAATATAGCGTTCAACCCACAAGTCATATCAGGAATCCACCCCGTTGATCTCGAAGTTGGGTGTCTACTGAATCCTTCATCTGGTTCAGCAACAGTTTGTTTGGAACTCTTCCTGTTACTGACAGTAGTGTCATATAATTGTTTGATATTCTCTTTCCTTGCATCATTTTACACTGTTCTTGCTAGCTGTTTCACGTATTTCTGTTTGTCAACTCAAATGCTTCTCTTCACTCTCGTGTTCGCTTCAGTGTATTCAGCTTGTGATTTGACTTTCTCTGTTCTCGTTCGGCTGACAACCTGTTGTTGTGAGTTATTTTGAATTGGTTGAGATTGTTAGTATGTTGAAGGAAGTCTGTATTGAGCGTTCGTAATGCTGTTTGTTCAGTTATCCAGTGCTTGTTTAGCTTCAGTCTCATCTTGACAACCACGAGTTGGTGGTGATCTGAAGTGATGTCAGCTTCTCTCCTAGTTCTCACGTCTTCCATTGATTTTCTGAAGATTTTGGTGATGTAAATATGATTTACCTTGTTGTTCGTGATGTGATCCAGTGAGACTGATTTAGTTTTTTGAATTCATTTGTGGGGGAATATAGTGACACTTATAACCATTTTGTTGAATGCGCAATGAATTTCCAAATCGGTCAACACTTTCATTCCTGTTCTGCTAGTTTGTGTCGTTCCATGATACATTCATATCCGGTGTAGTCCATTCCGACTTTGGTGCTGAGGTCTCCCATCAGGATGGTGAGATCCTTTATTGAGGAGTTTGCTATGATTGATTACAGCTTCTCATAGAACTGATCTCTTTTGTCGTTGTTGCTATCTGTCATTGGTGGGTGCATAACATTGGATATCATTCATCGTGATTCCCTGTTTGTTTGTTTTTCGATGGTCATGGATGAGTGAGCTTCCCATCCTATGAGTGCATTACGTGCTTCTTTGGGCAGTATTAGAGCAACTCCTTGAGTTTGTGGGGCATTTCGTTCTTCGAGACCGGAGTATACAGCAGCATCTCTCTCATGTCTGGCCTTTGCTGTCCAGTTTGGATCCAATTGGTTTCACTGATTTCGAGCACTTCCAAGTTGTATTTCCTTATTTCCGTAGCTATTTGACTGGTCTTTCCGATCTCTCACATTGTCCGGACGTTCCATGTACCTATAATAATCGTTGCTCTGGTTGTTAGAAGTGTCACTGACCTTGTAACTTGTGAAGAATCTCAGCTTTCACCAAGAGACATCATAACTCTTCGTTCATCTTCTAGGGCAGACTCTAAATGGTTTATTTTTAAAAACCTTATTGAGGTTGTTTTGGTAAGAATTTTTTCTATGGGATGGGGGTGTCGACCCCATACACAACCCTCCTTCTTTACTTGTGCTTGGGACCTGCAGTAACTCTAGAAGAGCTACAAGCGCAGTTACTTGTTAAGCGAATCGCATAATTTAGGTTGGCTACTTTGGTTGCTCTTATTCAAGTGAATGTTTATAGGGAATCGTCATAGAGTTTTAGATTTCGGTTTTTGATTAAGTTCGTTAATGAAGAGTACATAAACAAAACCTGTTTGATTGTCCCCTTGTACATTGCTCAACATAGTTTCTGCCTTCGAACCTTGAAATATCACGACACAGCTATTTCCAGTTTCATCTTACACGATGAAGGATCATTTCGAGGCTATGGTTACAGTAAACTGATAGTGTTCTCTGTTCACCGAAGTTGTTCCACAAAAATAGTTTATATCACTTTTTAGCGGATGAAAACATTTTGTGATCTAATATTCTCCGCTATTCACAAAACAAGGGATAAATATACCATGTTACTTTTATTCCTTTTGAAAGAAGCAATGTAGTTTATTATGCCTAATGTTACAGTAGATATATTGGTGCATTTTTTTTCTCAATTCAAAAGCTAATACCATGAGTATAATCATGTTAAAATTATAGTTCAAGATTTATCTGAACATTGCTCCAGAAATAGTGTTGCAGCTTGATATTCGCCTAAGGTTTAAACACCTCATTGGATATCTTACGTGCATGATGAGGATTGAATATAATTCAGGCACATCAACTACGCGTCTGACTATCTAAAATAATATCGTGTAAAAACCTTAATGGATGGAAAGGAGACTGAGGTTTTAAAGTCGTCATGAGAATTTCACGATTCAGTAGGGTTAGGAATCTGAGAGTCTTTCTAATGAATTAGGTTTTTGTTAAGAAGGTCAAGTAACATAAACAGTAGGGGATTTTTTTTGCCTAACTTTCTACGTCTCTGAATTGTAATAGTTATTGAAACTACCCAAAACGAACTATATTTGACTCACAACATCCTTAACCGGTCCACTAGAAAGTCGCGGTTTATTTTCCTCAAATCATTTTTCGTGGCAATATTTTGGTACTTATTGAAAGACAAGTTGAGATAAGAACGTTAACGATTATTTCTTCAGGCTATTGTCTCTGATCGTTCTACTTTATATGTTATATTGTCTTGATTATTCCTGAGATCCAATAGTTGACAGTTTCTGGAGAGTAGTACCGTATCAGTGGTCCCATTGACTCATAATTTGTTTATATCTGCTGTGACTCGTCGAAGTGACTAATTAAAGCCTCGAAGTATTTTGAGCCTATTTTTAATTGAGTTTTAAGTAACATAATTTTAATAGTACATCAGGGAAGATATACCTGATAGAATATTTGGGAAATGTGTTTTCTTGGAAATATATTCTACTCTAACTCTCCATTGTGAATACTTTTCAACAGTGTCTGTGAGTGATCAACATTGTCTGGTTGGTTCACTACAGTTATATGAATACATTTGAGTTTATTTATAGAACGTATTCTATCGGGTAACTATAATGAGTTAGCTTTTAATTGGTTTCTTCTCATCTTATGAAAGTAGATTTTTGTCCTTCTATACAGTCCTATGGAAAAAGACTGATCGTTGGATTTCATCATAATTATCCCTAATTTAAACTACCCTCTTTATCTTTTATTTTCAGATTATTATCAATGGGTCTCACTGGTTTTGGCATTACAGGCTATTCTGTGCTACCTACCTCGCCTTATTTGGGAGGCAATTACTTTCAATCGTGTTGGAACAAATTTAGGATTCTTGCTTGAATCAGCACAAGAAGCTTCAAAGGAAACTGGAAAGGAAAGATCAAATCGTATCCAGTTTATAGCAAATGTTATGGATACATTGTTGTTTGCTCGTCGTGATCTACGTAGATTAGAAAGTGGTCTTAAAGATCAAAATTTTTTGCAAAAAATTTTGCATACTATTCAAAATTTGCTTCCTAGTAAAAGGCTTGGTACTGCGTTAGTCACATACTACATGATAATCAAATCGTTTTATTTGCTAAATGCAGTTGGGCAACTTTTATTGATGGAACGATTTTTGGGTATACATGGAGAATATCGCCTATTTGGCTTATCAATTTTAAGTGATTTGATTATGGGTAGACATTGGAATGAAACTAGTGTTTTTCCTCGAGTGGGTTTTTGTCGTGTACCAATCAAATTAACGAGTACACCTATACCTATGGTTACTGTACAATGTACATTGCCAGTCAATATGTTGAACGAAAAGATTTATGTGTTTTTATGGTTTTGGTTTGTGTTTGTTGCTTCTCTGGAGGTTGCGAGTATTGGAGTTTGGATCTGTCGTTTGGCCGCACGGCAATCAAGATTGAGAAGTTTGGTTCGATATTTAAAAGTTGCAGATGTTTATGAAGAATCAATGGATCCACTACTTGTTCGATTCGAAATGACATTTCTTCGAATGGATGGTAGTTTTCTTTTACAAATGATGCGTTTAAATGCTGGGAGTCTTATCACACAGGAAATCTTACAAGCAATGTTGAAGCGTTACACAGAACAAGAACAATATGCTCAGAAAAAGCGCGATGAACGACAACCTTCTGGACCAAAATCTGTAGAAATGGAAAAAGATGGTCTACTTCCTGATTCTCCTGATTGTACTGTAACAAAGCGTTTAGATGCTGTTTAGTTGAATAAATAAATTTCCAACTTAAAGATTGAATGCAATGAAAAAATTCATCTCTGCCTTTTGTATTACTTCGTTTTTTTCATTTTCATTAACAATATCATCGATCGGATTGATATAATGATTTTTCTGGTAATCTACATTCAGTTTAATTTACGAAGCTCAGGGTCATCTCTAGCTATTTTTCATAATAAAAGTCCCAAGGTTATGATTTATTTTGACCTTTTATTCTTGAAGTATTCTTGAGGTGTAATGTATGTGTATATGGTACCATCAAGCGGCGTTATGTTTTTGGTGTCAAACTGGTTACCAATCATTGACCAGATAAAATATTGGTTTTTAAAGTGTATTTATCGTTGGTTATGAAAGTCTTCCTTTTTTAGCTAACTTGTTTGTTGAGAAATACAAGCTGTCATTAATCCCAGTCGTAAAAGGTTCAAAAGCTTTGACTAAGTTTTTAAAACTCGGTAGTCTATTTTTTGTGAAATATAAGTATTTTTTAGGTTTATATTGGCTTTATATTTACAGGAATTAATTTCTCATCTTATCAATATAACTTCTAAGGAAAGTCAGAACAAAAATTTTAGCATGATAACGTGGACTCATTTTAATTCGTTAGTTCCTCATCAGCTGCTTACAACCTGAAAATATTGACACAAATGAGTTTGATTGGAAGTTGTGATTACACATCAACATAGTATAGTAATGATGTAAATGAATTCAAGAGGCTGAATTAGTAGTTCGGCTACGGAGTAGATTATGTTTAATGCTATGTTAAGTATTTTACTAATTGTTCCTACCACGTGATCACCTTTAAAATTGAGGCGAACAAAGGTTATCCAATTCAATAAAAACCAATCTTCGTTTGAATCAAATGCCTCAAACGTACAGCTAGCCAACGGCTTTGAAAAATGTCAGAGTACTCATCAAGGCTAGTAGTGACTACAGAAATTTGTGAAATCCCCCAGAGATAATTGTCAGTCATTTAAAGCAAGAATGAGGCTCATCAAATAGCTGTATCTATCCCTTCCTTTTAGAAAACTCTAGAAGTCGATTGGGTTACTGATATAACGGGATAAGGAGGCGAAATCACATTTCTAACTCACTGTGATCCTTGCTCAACACTTCCGTTTTTAATTCTGTATGATGATTATTCAGGATAACTTTTGTTTTCCAGTGTGATATTTGGTATAATATTGATTTATTTGAGTGTGATAATATTTCAAGATACAATATTCTTATATAAAATTAACATGAATGATGTTCAGCATGATTGACTGCATGTGATTTTATGCTAATTAATCGTCAAAATGAGTATACAGTCACTATATAATGAGTGTGTAAGGTGGGTGAATATTCGAAGCAAAAACATAAGGTGTCAGGAATATTATTGGATAGCCACGTTTAGGCCTAAAATGAACGTTTGTCCGGTATAATGCTTTTCAGTTTTTATATGATTAATATCAGGTTGTAATCCATAAAATTTACTTTTACATTGACTAAAGATATTCAGATACTTGTATGTAACCATAATTTCTTCGTACATTTATTCCCCGCCTATTATGAATACCAAATGCAATACATTATGTTGTACTCACCGAGTTCTATTTTACTTGAATTAGGAATTTCTATGAGTTCCCTGGTTAGTATATTAATTTAAAAATTTTCTAATATCATAGGATATCTAATTCATATGTACGTATTTTCTATGAGTTTTCTGAATCTTAATTTATTTTTATTTAAGGATAGTGTTATTGTAAATTGATTCATTGAACTGACTATATCTCTTTCACCAGGTAAATTGTTTTGTCAAAAACTTAACATATAAAATTTATCCCAACTAATCAATAAACCATATTATATAATTTGAATTATTATACTGGCAATATAAATACAAAATAGAGAAAGTTATCCCAGTGACCCAGATATTTTAATATTGTGTAATAAATCCATATAATTATAAAACGGAGCTCCGTTTTTATAACAAAGAAATTGTTACATTCTAAGCAAAGTTGGATAGTGGCTAGCAGTGAAATACAGGACGCGCGTTTCGTTCTACTTGGGACTCGTCAGCTGGATGTACCTCCATCTCATAGTTGGTGTTCACTCTGGGACTCGAACACAGTACCTGTTGCTTCAAACGCCATCACGTTATCCACTTAGCTACTGAGTCCTGATAGCCACTTGCTTGTGCAATAGGGTGAAGTTTAAATTCACTTGGTATTGTTTGTTTGAATCTTCCCACTGATGTTTAGGACTACAGGTAAAATCAACACCAAGTGAATGGCCACGGGAAGCAGCATCAGGGCTTCCAGATACACGAAGCGTGTATCGAGGTGGTTCTTTATTTTGATAAGGTGAGTTCGAATGAATGACGCTACTCGGACCTTGTTTGCGCGTTTCGGAGACGCAACAAACATCGATGGTGCGAGATCCTAAAGTCTTAGCTAAGGAGGCCTGTTGTCCTATTTGGCACAATGTTCGGACGTTAAAAGCTCCTACATATAGTTTAGAGTGCGGTTTCAGGAGACCAGGAATAACGTTGAGTGTACTCGAATCGTTTGCGAGGTGATAAAAGGACGTGAGAAGGGTTAGTCGTGGAGATAAGAGAGTTATTAGGAGGTGTAGAAAGGATTTGAATGTGACCAACTCGGTCTCGAGTGCAGTTACGAGTATGAGGGCTAATATCACTTCCCGGCTGCCCACGCCGTGGAAGGGTATTTCTTGAGGGACCTGGAAAGGAAGTTGGATTAGTGTTGGTCTTAACTACCTAGGAGTGTGACCGCAGTGCCCAAGGGACAACTGCTTAAGGCCGGTCAAGCACGGTCTTCTTGTGGGGGATTTTTAACGTGTTGGCTCCGTTCTTCAAAGGATCTTACCACCGGAAACGGAAATCCGTGGTATAAAGCGAGGTGTGTGTTTTGAGGGTTGACCTTTTCTAACCCCACCCCTCCTTGTGGGAAGGCAGCATCTGGTTGTCTGAAGGAAACACCTTACTGCCGACACACATCTGTACAGTCGGCAGTACGACTTCGGACCTTGGGATTGCTGCTTTTAGTCTTACCGCTCTTCAATCGACCTGTCTGGCATGGTAGGACCTCGAGGAACGATTGTTCCAGCCAATATAGCTCGATTGGTTCATCACGATAGGCAAGCCCAACCACCACGTCAAGGTAGCAGTAACTGTCGGGAGTTAATTCTAAATAAAGATTTTCACAAATAATAATTAGTCCACTGTAATTCATAACAGCTTGTTAGCATAACAACTATTTGAAACGCAATATACGGTAGAATTTATTTCACTTTGTAAAAATATATTCGATTCATAATCTGATTATGTCATAACGATTTCCATTGATCTCGTCATAAGAATTTTTGTCACTGGTTCAACTCATTCCTAGTATATATATATATATATATATATATATATATATATACGTTCAACAAACAGAGTTTTTGGTTAACTTTGTATATCCATAGATTAGTCACTTATTATGCGGGTTTTATTATTCGTTTTTTCTATTGTTAAAATAAGAAGTTTGTGAAAATTATTCAATTTTAGCATTACGAATCTAAGTTTTCACCACTAAAAGTGTCTCCAACTAGATAACAATCAAAAATCAAACGAAGTACTGGAAATCTATTTCATACAGCTTGAAAACTTTACTCATGGGATTAAAATCAGGGCCTTTGTGCCCTGTGGTAAGCAGAACACCTTTAAATTATTCACAATCTGATTAACAACGTTGTTCGGATATCATAAATTGCTGTCGGTGGTAAATGTTATACATGAGATTTTGACGATGTATTTTTTCAAAGTTATATTTATGAAAAGGACTCCATTCAAGAAGTTATGAATCGGCTTCTTACATTTACTGTGAACTTAGTCATTTGGATAACCCAGTGATACGATAATCATAGGGTCAATTACAGCAATCATTTACTTTAAATGCTGATTTTATCTCATTTAATTGAGTAACTATACAGTATCGTTTTTCTTTAGAAATGAGGTTTAGTTCTACAAAAACCTATAAGGGTTATTTCCATACTGTTTGAACTGGAACTGATGACTGAATAGGAAACTATTGTATCGATTGTCTGATTTTTATGACCTGGTTCATATCTAAACATGAGTCTTTTCTAGTTATTGCAAAATCTACAACCTTCATATTATATGTCATTTGATAATTGAGACTCATCTTCAAAAAACTCGATAGCAGATTCGAATTCTATTTCATTTTTTAGGTATCATGGTACTATCATCACTACTTCATAGCGCACTTATGCTGGTTGTTGGGATGACCCTGCATTTTTCTCGCAAGTGACATGACAAGCTCGTGAGTCATCAAGGAGCATTTCAACCAATAAGCGATTAATTAGAAGTTATGTTACTAAAATAACGAGATCCTGATTGACTAATTAACACACTGCTACTATGTTTAGCAGTATTCTGGAACTTTCAGTAAAACTCAAGGACTCTTAAATTACTATAAAATTCCCATATTTTCTGTACATAAATTAACCCTGTAGTAAAGTGCTTCCCACACACTTTGTGCCTTTTCTCTGGTCTTCAAGTCGCGGTGTATAGTTCTAGCTCGGGGGATACGGAACTAGCTTGGGGAAGCGAATATAGCGTTCAAGCGGCGATACGTAACACTGGTAAAGTGAATTACATCACTATAATTATTAGTATACACAGCTTAGCAATAAAGTTATTGACATTATTATTTATGTGGTCACTTATTATTCGGTTAAAATTTTTGAATGTTGTCATATTCATGCCAGTTTACAGTATCGAGTAAGTTTCATCCCTGATTAATCAATTTATCAGATATGATTAACATAAGTTTCATCAACAGGCTGTCAATATACTTAATATAAAAAAGCATATGGTTATTTGACCTCATTAACCGAATTATTACAGAGTCATGTCAACATCAAATCATTATAATTTTGGTATGGATCGATAAAACTGGTGTGCTAGTATTTTGAACAAATTTATATATATATAATAGTCCAAATGTCTCTCTAAATTTGTTCAAAATACTGGCACACCTGTTCTATTGATTGTGTCGTGATTTGATGTGTGCACGACCGATCCTTACGGAATTCAACCTGTCGATCTCGAAGTTGGGTGTCTACTGAATCCTTCATGCGGTTCAGCAACACTTTGTTAGGAACTTTTCCTGGTGCTGACAGTAGTGTGGTTCCTCTGTAGTTTTCACATTCATATCTCCTTTCTTTGATAACTTGATGAGGTGTCCTTCTTTCCAGTCTGTCGTTTGCACTTGTTCTTCCACCCAAATCCTCCTGAATAGAAGTTGAAGCATGTTTGCAGTTACTTGAATGTCTGACTTCAATGCTTCACCTGGTTTATTGTCAGGTATTGTTGTTTTCCCACTCTTGATTTGTTTGATGACCATCCTGATTTCTTTGATCGTTTGTGGAGTAGTGAAATCTGTTAATTAGGAAGGTTTGTAGGTGCTGCTTCGATGTACGGCGGGTTTAATGGTGCTGACCGATTTGAGAGTCCCTCAAATTGTTCTACCCATCTATTCCTCTGTTCTCGAATCTCAGTGGTCGACTTGCCTTCTTCGTCCTTGATCGGTCTCCCTGGTTCACCACATTTACCTACCAGTTTCTTCGTAGTATCATATAATTGTTTGATATTCTCTTTCCTTGCATCATTTTACACTGTCCTTGCTAGCTGTTTCACGTATTTCTGTTTGTCAACTCAAATGCTTCTCTTCACTCTCGTGTTCGCTTCAGTGTATTCAGCTTGTGATTTGACTTTCTCTGTTCTCGTTCGGCTGCTGTTAATCTCTGTCATCTTGTTCTTTCTTTGTTGAATCGTGTGCAGAGTTTCGATGGAGATTGTTCAGGATGTTACATCCCCAGAGCGTATTTGGTAAATGCCTTATCCTTGTAATTTTATTTTAAAAATTTTATTTCTAGTTATCGCGCCACCATGTCTTATTTCCCGCTTGGAAGGATCTTAAAGCTATTAGTTCGTTCTATCTTTTAGTTTGCTATTATGTAACGCTTCCCAAGGACAATTTTATGCTGTATATATACGTTTGATTTGTACCTGTTGTGATTGTTTGTTCTTCTGGCTACTTGTGGAATATATTTTCTCACTCTAATTAGCGGGGCTGGGACACATCAGAACAGCTAGCTTATTGGTCTGTGGTCACACAGTCTTTGTTCGTTTTGAGATCAGGGGACTCGTCATCGCTTCAAACATAAAGGAGATCCATTCCTTTTGATGGTGCTTCTTGAGGCCCGGAACCTCGTATCACGTTGAAGTTAGTACTACTTTGATCTCTTTCTAATTGTCCTCCATAGTAGATTGATTCCTCTTATTTGAGTAGATTTTGTAAGGCTGACAACCTGTTGTTGAGAGTTATTTTGAATTGGTTGAGATTGTTAGTATGTTGAAGGAAGTCTGTATTGAGCGTTCGTAATGTTGTTTGTTCAGTTGTCCAGTGCTTGTTTAGCTTCAGTCTCATCTTGACAACCACGAGTTGGTGGTGATCTGAAGTGATGTCAGCTTCTCTTCTAGTTCTCACGTCTTCCATTGAGTTTCTGAGGTTTTTGGTGATGTAAATATGAGCACTTCCAAGTTGTATTTCCTTATTTCCGTAGCTATTTGACTGGTCTTTCCGATCTCTCACATTGTCCGGACGTTCCATGTACCTATAATAATCGTTGCTCTGGTTGTTAGAAGTGTCACTGACCTTGTAACTTGTGAAGAATCTCAGCTTTCACCAAGAGACATCATAACTCTTCGTTCATCTTCTAGGGCAGACTCTAAATGGTTTATTTTTAAAAACCTTATTGAGGTTGTTTTGGTAAGAATTTTTTCTATGGGATGGGGGTGTCGACCCCATACACAACCCTCCTTCTTTACTTGTGCTTGGAACTGTCAGTAACCATAGAAGATATGCAGGCTGAGTTGAATGTGTGTACTTTGAATATATTTGTGACAGAGACTCATTAGACTGAATAAGCTTACTTCCTTTTTATTTATGTTTGTTTTATGATGTTCATTTACTTCATCGGTTGGTCACAAAATGTTTATTTATGAAAGGTACTTAAGGATTTGTTTATGTGGATGAAATTGTATCTTCTTATCATGAATAAAGAAACAAAATATAGTCATCGAATGGAATTTCCAATTTGGTTGAAATTTAGTCATATGAAATTTGAACCTGTTAATGAATATTATTGTGAGATGAATAAATGGGTTGGAATTTTTTAAAGTTTGTCCAGTTAGATGTTGTTTGTTGATTTGTTTAGTAAAAGAAGCTGGGTGTATGATGTTACAATAATATCAATATTTATTTATATATGGTTTATTAAAAATATACACTTAGGTAGTCAGTGTCATCATATCGTCTTTAAATACGTGTTTATTGTACGGTTTTATTTTATTTCTAGGAGTGACAATTTATAAGACTTCAAAAACTAACAGAAATTATAGCTTTCAGGATGCAAATTTCTTTAATTAATTTCTTAAACTCAGCTGTCCCTCTTTGCACAGATAGAAAATCCAAATCAAGTCCACGATTATCCTATTGAGTATGAGGCAGATGCATGTTTTTCATTCGATTGTTTCGCAGGTTAATCAGGTCTAGATTAATCACATGTGTTAATTACATATACCAATGCATATCTATCTGTGTAGTTCAATATAAATAACAAAAAGGATATGTAACAATTTTTTATGCAAGTCAAATCACATGATGCAATGCCTCAAGTTATATGTCAGTGCGTATCCCCGAATACTCACATATAATAATCAAAGTGTGAGACATAAGAAGAAAACACAAATTACGAACGTCAAATTGGTTATAGTATTGCGACGTAAGGACCCAACATTAGTTCCTGGGGGAATAGTGTTGGGAAGTTTATAATGCAAATTCTAGATATCGGTGGTTTCACTACACAACCGACATGATGACTGTATACATTTCTAGGACGCAAGTGAGTTGCTAATTCTAATACTGATTAGTATATTCTAGATCGTATAGAATCTACATCTATTACACAAGTGGGCAGATACATGATGAACATAAAGAGGAAAGGTACGATTGATTGCAGAAATTCGGGTCCTCATTTAAGCTGTGGCGAATGCAGTGTTTATATAAACTAATAATTCTTTTGTATTGATGACTACTTGATTTTGAATTCCAAGTACAGTACATTCGTTTGTGTTCATCCAATACTTTTTGATTGAATTCAGCTATTGCTGGGATTACTAGTTTATACTATAATTCAAATACTCTTAAATATCATGCTTCAGTCTTTGGTCACTGTATACTCTTGTCTTGCAAGTAGTAAGTTTGTTTAGCACAAATATCTATTCCGAGAACCGTGTTCCTGAGAAGTGGATTGTGTGATTCTACATGACTTAGTAACTTAGGTCTAATTATTCTTTCGAATACTGTACTCGTTAGACTTACAAATCGGTAGTCGGATACAATCTGTCTCATTCCATACTTAAAAATGCTAACGACAGCATCCTTCCAATCCTTAAGTAATAAATTTTGGGAGTGGAACATATCCAACAACACGTGAGTCGTTTTGGAATAACGTACATGTGTGATGACATCCGCCATAGATGTAACCCATCGGGACCGATGACTCATCAGGTCTAAGGTTAATAGGCAGTTGAAGAGCAGCTTCTTCAAGCACAAGCACTGGTTTTATAGATTGTAGATGATTATACTGTAGGGTCAGTGAAATGTCACTGAACACTCGCCAAATCATCCGGCAGTTGAGTCACTAAATATCGGACAGATCATCGATCCCCGTCAAGGTCAAGGACAATCAACGCGCATCAGTTAATCATACTCCATGGACTATCCCATGCGGCAGTGGTTCTACTTTCGCTTGTATCTACTTTAACTAATATATTCCTGTAATAACGTCCTTTGTGTTGTACAGTCTTCGGAGCATCCATGGTCCCTTGATGCGTCGATGGGGCAATCAACGTAAGGTGCTGGTTGCGAGGTGTGACTTCGAAGTTATCTTGTTCGTTACACCGTTCCCGTCTTACTCGAGTAGGCCTCCAACCATTCGACATAGACCATCAACGTTGATGGCCTACAATACCTAAAGGATACACCGCACTGAATTAGTTTGATAAAGCTTAGGCTTTGACCATATTCGATTCATCTAGTATATTTGAATGCTCGTGCAACGGTAGTGGAGGAATTTCATCAATACGTTTTGTTATTCGCCTAACGTACAAAACAATAGTTTTCTGAAAGTACAGCTTTTGTGTGTCAACCATCTTTCATCCGTAGTTCGAGATGTAGCTATAAGAATTTCACATATAGTCCTGATCGTTCGATATTTTCACAGAAATGATTTCTGACTTCTTGTAAGGATGACGTCTTACAAAATTTTCACACACCTAAGTAGATTTCGTATTTCCTTGTCGGTCAATGGAGGGTACTGTGATAAGTCACATGATTATTATGGGATGAACGGTACAGTACCCTTTTAGAATGTGGCTTTAAATGTAAACCCATTCACATTGA